GCATAATCTAGATCAACTAACCGTTCAGCGGGCAGCACTTCAACACGTACATCGTGAGATTTCGCAAGGGAACACTCCATGATAGAATCCACGACGAAATTGAACAAAAATGGGGAAATCGGACAACCCTGTCGAACGCCACTTGTAGTCGAAAAGCTATCCGATAGGGCACCATAGACCCTGACGCGGCCTCTAGTGTTCGAGTATAGAGCAAGAAGGATGTTCACATATTTCGTGAGAACACCTTTCGGCACAAGTATTTCGAACAGAATCGATCGATCGACTGAATCGAACGCACTCTTGAAATCGAGGAACACAGCTATTGTCGGTCTGCGGTATGCGTGGCGCTGCTCTAGCACGTGCCGCAAAGTAAATATATGGTCTATACAGCCACGTCCTGGGCGAAAACCCGCCTGCTCTTCTCTAATCCGAGATTCCCGTTCTGCAGTGAGGCGACGAACGATAATCGAGGCCAGTAATTTTGTCACAACTGGCGTTAGGCTAATAACCCTGTGGTTCGCACAGTCTGTGCGACTGCCTTTCTTGTATATTGCCACTATAATCGATTCGCTCCAACTAGCCGGCACACTCTCTTCGTTCCAGATACATTCGAATAGGGAGGTCAGTGCTTTGCAGAGGACCTCACCACCATCCTTAAATAGTGCAGGTGGGAGGGAATCCGGGCCAGCGGCACGAAAACGATTGAGGGCTGTAATCGCGTTTCGGACCTCGGCCTCCGACGGAGGCTCTAAACTAACCGTCCATGGCTCGTCCTGCATCACCTGAGTAGGAAGAGGTCCGGGAGCAGGGGGACAGCTGAACTGATGTTCAAAGTGCTCAGCCCAACGAGCCATACGGCGCTCCTTATTGTGTATCAGCGCACCCGCACTGTCCCTGATTGTCTCACTGACGCCTGGTTTTCTCGGACCAGTGGTGCGTATTACCTGGAAGAGCTTCCGGTAATTGCCTACTGCTCCTGCCTCCTCCATTTCTTGAGTCCGACTGGTCCACCAGGCTTCCTTGTCAGCACGTAGGCTCCGCTTTAGTTCACGCCTAATAGCCCGCCTGGTCACATTGTGTTCAGAACCAGCCGAGAGGTGTCTTCTAGCTTCCAAAAGGTTCACGGACCTCTCGGATATCCAGTGACTGGTGCGATGACGACTGATAGTGCCACAAGCAGATGCTCCTGCGTCGTGCATAGTGGCCGAGATTCTATTCCACTGAAGTTCAGTATAATAAGGACAAAACAGCGAGAGTTCGCTTTGCAGTGCTTCTTGATTGGCTTGCCTGACAGAGGGCTGGGACAATTTCTCCGTTGCCAATCGGGGGAGACGCTTTGTGCGCCTTCCGGTAAAGTTCATGGAGAAACGACAGCGCACCAAGGCATGGTCAGAGTCGACACAGGTACTCCAGTACGAGCGGCAATCCAGAATGGAACCGCGCCACCTGTAACTTATGGCTATGTGGTCAATTTGGGTCCATCGCTGGCCAGCTACAGGTGGACGCCAAGTGGCACTTCGGCGCCCACTGTGTCTAAAAGCAGTGCTAGTAAGAAACAACTGGTGCTCCGCACACAGTTGCAGCAGACGCTCGCCGTTGTCAGTCCGTTCGGCGTTAAGTCCATACTTACCACCCAGCTGAGCTTCTGACGAGCTCAGACGCCCTACTTGTGCGTTCATATCCCCTGCAAGTACTATAATATCTGAACTAGTAGCACTGCGTAGCAGCGTGTTCAGTTCGTGATAGAAAGTGTCCTTGACTGCATTAGAACTGCAGTCCGTGGGAGCATAAGCAGAAATCACAAACAAACAGCGTTTTGTTTTACTTCGCGAATTCACCTTAGCTGATGTCGTCAAACGGGCTGCACATAAACGGCTGTTCACCGGAATCCAATCAACCAACGATGACTCAGCCTTGAAGCTGAGAATGATACCTACACCAGCTTGACCCGTGAGTGCCGCATCGGCGTCTCCGGATGCGTGCAACCAATAACGAGAGGATAAGCCGGGTGCAGTCAATTCAATAACCCCGTTAGGGTCATTAATCCTAGTTTCGGACACACAACACACATCAATACCCAGTGTGTCCAAGGTGCGTGCGAGTGCAGCCTGCTGACCTGTTTGTCTTAGAGTGCGGACGTTGAATGTCGCCATGGCAACGGGACAGCGTGGCCTTATAAGGGACTTTTGCCGATAGGCGTCCGATAGGTGCTGTGGGATGGTGGTTGCAGATGGTTCTACTCCAGTAGCACTTCGGTTGCTGTCAATTAAGCTGGGAATTATAGAAGGAAGGTTAGTAATGGGGGCCGGGATGGGAGTAAGAGAAAAAGGTGGAAAAGGAAGAAGGGAGGCGCCAGCAGTAGCATGATTTCGCTTATCCGCCCTGCTGTATGCAGCAGATAAGGCGACCCTTGATAATCTGCGCGACGGCCGATGCAGGATGAAGTTTATGTTTGAAGAAAATGTCATGGTTGTATGTGGGCTGGGATACTGCCAGGGCGCCCAGACCTAGACAGGAGAAGGATTAGGGTCCTCATCCAAAGCCTTTGGCTCAAAAGCCTGTCCGCAAGGCAGCGGGGAGGTGGCAATGATTTAGTTTTACAAAAATGGACGCCATCCCATTTCAAACCCCCAACCTGGAGGACCAGGAGACTGAGTTTGTCTGACCTCTCAAGTGGAAGGCTGATCACCACGCAGTCGCTTCCAGCGAGGTCCTTGACGAGCGAATAGAGCGCGACGCGGTAGACGCTCAGGTGCCATGCGTAGGACATGACCGAGCCATCTTAACTGGCGCAACAAAACCAGTTTGTTGAAGGAAATACTTGCATTCCCCAAGATGCGACGTCGAACGTCATTATTATTAACTCGATGTTGCCACCAAACACCAGCGATCCTCCTCAAGCAACCGTTATCGAATGCAGAAAGACGACGCATGTCTTCCACGCGAATCGGCCAGGACTCGCACCTATACAACAATACTGGGCGAACTGATGCGCTGTAAATGCGGCCCTTTAGTGAGAATGAGACATCACGACGATGCCACAAGTGCCTCAGATTGACAAATGCTGATCGAGCTTTAGCGATACGAAGCGAAACTTGTTTGTTGATAGTGCCGTCAGCAGAAACACAGCTCCCAAGGTAGACGAAACTATCTACCTGTTCAAGTTGTGCACCTTGGAGAGTGAGCACGGGAACAGGTGAAAGCCAATCCTTGAGCAGTACTTTACACTTCGATGGGGCGAAGCTCATGCCATACTTAGATGCTTCAACCGCCAAACGATCCAGAATGAGTTGCATACCCTGAGGATCGTCATCAAGTAAGGCAATATCATCAGCATAAGCTAAGTCGGTCGCGCGCTCACCCGGTAGAAGCTCTAGGCCAAAATGTTGGAAACCTTCTAGGGCATTCGACAGAACGTCTTCGATTGCGAAGTTGCAGAGGAATGGGGACATAGGGCAGCCCTGTCGCACACTGCTATTGACAGCGAATTGCAAGGAAAGCTTGCCATAGACCCTCACTGCCGGATGTATGAAGGTAAAGTGCTCGTAAGATGGCGGTATATTTCTCTGGCACCCCTTTCTTTAGTAAGCAACGCCATAAAGCAGGTCGATCAACGGAGTCAAAAGCGGCACGTATGTCTAGGAATGCAACGATAGTGGGCCTGTGATAAATGTGGCGATGTTCAAGGAGTTGGCGGAGCGTGAAGATTTGATCTACGCATCCGCGGCCAGGACGGAAACCAGCTTGTTCTTCACGGTAGTATGAGTCACGTACTGGGGATAGTCTACGAAGCAGAATGGATGCCAACGGCTTAAAGCCAACCGAAATAAGACTAATCCCGCGATGATTTGCACATGAAGTGCGAGCGCCTTTCTTGAAAATTAGGACAATAACTGATTCGCCCCAAGAGGAAGGCACTTTCTCTTCATGCCAAATTTTTGCGAACATCGCGGTTAGCTGGTTAATGATCGCCACACCGCCGTACTTGAATAGCTCCAGAGGAAGTCCGTCTAAGCCGGCAGCCTTGAAGCGCTTCAAGCGTCGAATCTCGCTATTATGAAGATACCATAACTGGATGAAAAACACAGACTGCTGTAGCGCATAATCCCCAAGAATGTGCTGCACCCGATATGTTAGAGGAAGGCTTCGGTGAATAATAGTGAAGATAGTGAATAATGCCAGCATCTGAGCTGCATGTCAATGATCCGGTTCGCTTTCGCGTCGGGATAATGAGTCCGCTGGGAGGATTTTAATTTCTCCAAAACATCCAAATGAAGCGTTCTTTTCAAAGGAGTAAACATTACATGCGATATTTACATGGTTCGTAATGATAGTGAAAATGGAGCAATGATCAGAGGAAGTTGGTACGAAAGTTGTTTGAGTATGCGCAAGATCAAGACAAGGCGCATCAGCTACAAAGTAAATTATAGTGTGGCGTGGAATTTCCAGAAACGCATACTCTACACCGCAAATTTAGCTAAAAGCATATGTTCATTCGAATTACTGAAAATTATTTGCATTTTGAAACCACTAATCAGCCCTGCTCGAGTACTGTAAACACTCGTGTTAACTGCGAACGAAAAGGTGAAAGAAGGGAATACGAGGCGTCACTTTCAAGTTGTGCGTCCAAAAAAGTAATCAACAACACATGATCAACAGCAACCTATCATCGCGATTCGTGTCTACTGTGCATTCGGCGCTTTCAAGAAGATAATGGAGGCGAAAAAGGAATTTATAAAGGATGGCGGTCTTATTCCAGGGAAATTGAGCGAAGGCACAAAACAGAAGACAAGTCAGGACTAAAATTTTAAAAAATGCTGACTACACACGTAAGTGCTGATAGTTGCAGTGGAAATCAGTCAGGTGAAAAGCCGAACGTGGGGTAAGTTTCAGGTACCGGACGCGTCATCTCCTAACGCGAGATCAAGCAAAAAAAACGCTGGGTAACAAAGTGATGGTTTAAAGACAAGAACCGTACCAAGCAATGAGTAGACACTCACTTTCATGAAGATAATCCGTGTTATGTTTCGATCTAAAAAGTATTATGGAACGCGTCAGACGGATATAGCACGTAACAATATTGTGACGATAAAAACTCATAAGGGAAAATTGATCGGAATGGTCGTAATAGTTCGCTCTACCCCGCCTAACTGTGCACACACGAGTTGAGGCTAGAGACTACACGCGTAAATTTGCACGACTTCACCGAGACCAAGAAAAGAAAGATTGATTGACAACAGGAGCTTGTTTACTGAATCAGCCAAAGGCGAGCATAATTTCTGCATTCACTTGAATAACTCTTTAGCGTAGCAGCGTAATGTAAAAAGTAGAGAAAAAGGTGAGTGCCGATAAGGCGCATGAGTTGCTACGCATTGGTAACATCTTCAGTCGCGGTCAGTGTAGCTTGTGGCGATAGATACATCAGTGTCACCGAGTAAATCTTGAGTGGTGGAGTCTGCGCAATTTGTGTTGAGGCATAACAGCGGTTTTAATAAAGTGGAGTGGGCTGTTACTTGTTGTTACCGTCCAACACCACAAAGACCTCAACTCGCGTGTACACACGTAAAGCGGACAGGTCATTCTGATCGGAATTCAACTAGCTACTCTGCGTGTGGGGTACTAGCCGTGAAAAACGTTTTGTCTGTTCCTACTAGCAGAGTTAAAACAACTAGAGTGTGCACGACAAAAACTGAAGTATCATTCATTCTAAAGAGACATACACCGACGCATAGCACTCCCGAAGGGTGGGGAAGAGGTGCCTGTGACTCAATATGTCTAGTGTATGAAAATAAGATAACAGTAGTGTCCTGTAAGCTTTTGGATCGGTGTCTGCCTAATCTGTTATTTCCCTTGTGTTAACTCTGGTTATAATGACCATCCACAGCTGAACGTAAGAAAAAAGGTAAAAAGAATTAAAAATGAGCAAAATTAAGAACAAATGAATAATGAGGTGCCCTTCTACGAATCAAAGACGTGCCGACCTCAAAGCCCAAACGACTGACTCAAAACAGAAGTCGAAAGACGTCGAAAAGGAATACTCCTCCGAGAAGACAAAAGAGGTAAATAGGAGATGACTTCATTGGTCCGTAAAGTCCTTCTAGTTAATGAGTACTTAAAGGAAACCATTGTGAATATAGAATGCATGGGCTTGGAGGCCCAGTTAAACAGCAATTGGGCCATTCCTGCGAGGATTACAGAGGCACCGTCCGATTCATATACCGAATGTTCCAATCAATGCCGTCAACCGAGCAGTTGCGTCGGGTTGGCAAGAGGGTAGCACACGGAAACGAAACAGGAGGTGGCCCTAAAAAGGGCCAAGTTTGCGTTCTCACAGACTGGCCCTTAAACAGTTAGGCAAAGTCGTAATCATCGGCTGCAGTGGTTTAATGACAATGGCACAGAACTTACTTTCTGGCGAGCAGATCATGAAAGTGCTTCTTAAAACGGTTATCTTTCCAGCAAAGGGTTCATTTGCAGTGGAATCCAGATCTACACTGAGGAGGATGTAGGTAACAATATATTATGACATACTCAAACGCAGGTTTGCGGATAGGCTGCAGCTCCGCCGAAGTGGTCGTCTCATTTTGTAAGCGCATAGGCACAGCGGGTGCGTTGTCCGTACTATGTGACACATATGCATAGCTGCAGCAGGGTACCGCGTCACAACCATCCGAAGTGTCTGAGCGGAGGTGAAAAGCTATTTAAAAGCGCTTGCAAAGGCACACATGCGTAAGTAAGCCTTTTTCAGAAATTGTTTCCACGAAACCATCCTGTTCCACGCTCTGCAGGGCCTGCCGCAAATTGGCCAGAAATAATAACGTGACATTTCACCTACATGACACGGGCGAACGCAATCTGCGGCGTACATTACGGACGTCGTCTGTTGTGACGTGTTTCCCGAATGCATTCTCGATGTACTGCTTTATGTCGCACGTATGGGTGTTGTATCCAAATAAGTCAGCAGCTTGATTGCATTCCTTCTCAGTAAGGTGCCTTTCGAAAAGAAACCGGTTGCTCTTTGTTTTCCGGCGCTTGCAGCGCAGGCATTTATAAACGATGCGATCATACCTCACAGCAAATAAAATTGACGTTGTTCCGATGCATAAATGACGTAAACAGGGAATAGAATTCATCAAAGCTATGAAACGAATGTCCAACAACGGTGAAGGAGTTTGAACATCGACTCGACGCCCTTGGGTTACAGTTTCAGACCTTTCCGTTTAGTTCTTAACTTTTATGTCTATTTCCTTGGCTCCTCACATCTATTACTATTATTATCTTAACCACACATTCTCTCCTGTACTACAATTACCATTATTTTGTTTTTGTTGGTTCCCTTCTCTTAACCTTTATTCTATTCACGTGGCCGGTACAGTGGGGACTGCTAGTGCAGGCCGCGTGGGCATTGATTGGTTGACCGTTATGTGATTCGTGTGTATTGATTTGGCTCCTCTCGGCTCCAAACCCCTCCCGTGAACTCCATCCTGGTTCAACGACGCATTGAAGAAGGAACACACATGGGAATTCTCCTACCGTTCCTGTCCAAATTGAACTTGAACTTGAACAAAGGTGCCCCTAAAGTCAGCCTCCATGGCTGCAATGCGAAATAACAGCTAAATACGACCTCTTACATTAGACCTCACTTAAAGTAGCGACTAAACTCATGTGCATAGATATCAACCGTTTTCTGGAAAATACCAGACATAGGCGTATTTTAAGCTGTAAAATTGGTGCAACTTATTTTTTATTGCCCACATTTCTTGCAGTTCTATGGTTGCCACTACGTGACACCAACGATAAGCGATTAAAGTGTTGCCCGTGACGGATGCCTGGTACAGTCAGGGTAAACATGCTAATGCAGTTTAGATGTTGTATGGTCATGTAACTGGTAAGGAAAAGTCAAGAGTAATTTCTGGATATCTTAAGGTTAAGGATTGAAGTCAGTGTAAGTGGTCTGTTTATATGAATTATTTAGCTGGTACATTTTGGCGCGTTTCGTGTCGTCCGCCATGCAGTATGATACTGCAGCATTTCATTGCATGATAACCGGTGGTTACGAGGCAATTGAGGAGTTCCAACGTGATTTGTTGCGGTTCCGAAGAGAAACTGCAAGTTCGTTTTATAGCTGCACGGTGATTACTGCGGCGGGTCATAGGCAAAGGACTGGAAAAGATCTCCCTCATGGTTATTGTTGTCGATTCATTCAATATCGATGTCGGCATAGCAAGCGTAAGAACTTGAAAAGGAGGCGGTAAGGTGCATGACAATTTTAGTTCTGTTAACTCTTTTAGGTATAAGTGGTACAACTGCAACCCCCGATTTTTTGTGGCGCTGAAAGGCTAAAATCCTTGTTTGAAAACAGTAGTTGCATAACACTGCACAGAAAATTTGGCATTTGTCAGTTTTCTTGGGATCCGAAAGGGCTTGGAAGTGTCAACTTACAGGACTATTTGGTCACGGCCTACCTGTCGTGTTTCATCGTTCGCGCTCTTCTTCGGCGAACTCTGTTTTCTGTTATTCAAAGGGACTCAGAAGTCCTAACCTACACGCAATCTCTTTTTCCGTTCAAATTACGGCTTGCTACACCCTGCATACGCTGGTTACTCTTTTATGTGCGTGAAAACGTCTGTGTAAACACACCTGCTTGAAAAAGTGCATCATATCGGTTGCCCCCGGTGAGTTCAATTCGGTGCGTAGGTTTCTCTTGCGGTGATACCCGACTTTGCTCTCGCTGTCTGCATTGTAGGCCTTCGCAAGCCGGTCCTCACCTTTCCGTTGTTCTTACCTTTTCTTCATTACTGTCAAGATGGTTAGAAAAGTTGTGGGTGTGCCTCCAGGTCTTAAAACAGCTGATTCAGTTTACCTATGCGGCTTAGTGAGATGCTCTATACCTTTAACCGACTTGTCGGGTGGTATGCAATGCGATCTTTTCGCTAGGTGGTTCCATGCGGCATGCACTGGTTCGCCTGCGGATCAGTATGCTCTCTTGGGATGCAATTAGATGTTCCTTTATAGCTGTGAAGCTTGGTTTAAGTTTAAAGCTCAGCGCCGTGTAACCACGAAGTATTGCTTCGACTCGCTCGTTTCCGGACTGGCAAATATGGAAAGAGTGTTGTCTTTGCTGTTGACAACTTTGGATGGGAAAGTTGAAGGTTTAGTAGATCGCCTGACACCATCATTGTTCTCGGCCATGTGAAATTAGCGGATAGTAGCATGCAAACGGATTCCGTCTACCTAACACCCTATCCAGCAACCGATTGCGAGCTAATTGGCGCTAAACAGCTGGAAGGAGTACGCGATTCCACGGCTAGTGCCGAAATATTACAGACCTTGTCAACGAAACGCAAGCGGAGCAAGAAAAGGAAAGCTGTAAACTCTCAAAATGTGGTAGTATCGGAGTTTACAGAGGATCAGGTAAGCACGTCACATGCAGACCCTTCGGTATTTAGATCTTCGACGTCTCCTCCCCAAGCCAATTCCTATTCAGCTAGTGCATGCAAGCAACCAGCCACCCGGTCGCAGGCTTCTGTGGCGCGTTGATTAGGCACCCTTCGCCGCAACGACGCTTACACTGATAGCAGTGTCATTTTTATGGGTGTCACGGAGTCCACCGCCGCACTTCCAAAGGAGCGAATGCTTGATTACCTACAATGGTTTAAGCTTTGGGTTTCCAAACTTCTACCGCCCGGGTTTCCTGACGTAACTGTGCGGAAACTCATTAGGCTTGGGTCTGTGCCGCTTGATGTTTCGGACGTGAAACCCCGTTTACTGAGAGTCTTTCTTTCAACACCGGACTAGCGTAATACGCTTCTGCGTTTCTCTTTTAAACTCTAAGGTTCTGGGGTCAGTATTCAACCTGACCTCCCATTAACTAATAGGTTGAAACTGAAGACCGCCATAAAGGACCTCAAAGCGCGTCGCTAAGCGGGTGAAACGGGCCTTCGAAAGGTATGTTTTCGTTTGGTGAGCCGGAGGTCTACTTCCGCCTTTTCAGAGCCCGTTCCGGTGGCATCATCATCATACCCGTTAGCTAGAGGGCGCTAAGCAAGAAAAAGTGAGGTTCCAGATACGGATGTTCTATGGGTAATGTGTTGAAAGCC